AGCAAAGTATCAATGCCAAACCTTGTGTACCCTCCAGTGAAAGGTACTTCTCCCAAATAAACCTTTTATTTTATTTTAGAATAGGTAAAATGAACTATTCCCATACAGCTCTTACATTGCTTCTCTATTATACACATCTATTATTGCTATGCTATATTTGTTGTGATGAAGGAACACTGGCACATTACTGTTAACTCAACATTTTCGATTTCACTAGTTTTACCCTAATGTCCTTTTATTTGTTTCCAGGAACCTATCTAGGGTACACTGTATTCAATTCACAAATCTCATTAAGCTATTTGTGAATGATAGTTTTGTGTAGTACTGGTCAGTTGCTTCACAGAATGTCCCTCAAATTGAGTTTGTTTGTATATCAAGGTTTCACTCAAAATATGAGTTTCTGGAAGATCAGAGACAAGCACCCTTTGTAGTAAATCATGTCAAGGATACATACCATCAACCTGACTTAGTGATATTAATCTAATCACCTGGCTGAATTAAGTTTCTGTCAAGTTTTATCAATTCTAGTTACTTCCTATATTCCGTGTACTCTGCTCTTTGGAAGTAAGTTACTAAGTTCATACTCAAAGAGTAAGGAATTATACATTTAACCTCCTGGGGGGGGGTGTACATAAATTATTTGGAACTCTCCTACATGGGTTTGTTTCTTTTCCATTTATTGAATTATTCAATCACATATTTCTGTCAGTATGAGCATATGGGTGCTTATTTTATCTTTTGTGTTATAATAGTGTTAAATTACTTTTTACTCAAATTGCTCCAGTTTTAGTTACTGGAAACTCAGGTCAGCTCTATGTTACTTTGATATACCCATCCTTTTGTCTTTTAAATACACTTCTTTCCTTTTGGCACTATGTGGATACTCCAGCTCATCTTGTATGTTACCTGCCCAAGCCCCTAAAATCAGTCATTTCTCTAAGAAACTGAGAATCTGTTCATTGGAGAATGGTATTCAGAATGCAACAACAGCGTACTAGATGTGCTTATCAGCAGACAGTTAGGAATCTTTTTTTTAATGGTACTGGTGTTTGAATTCAGGGTCTCACACTTTCTAAGCAGATGCTCTACCACTTGAGCCTCTTCACCAGCCCAGGAAATGGGTTTTTAATTATTAAAGACATTTCAAAATTTAACTACTTTGATGATTTTCATTTCTCCGAACTCTAAAGTGAACACATTATATTCTATGCTTATTTACAACTAATTTCCTGTTCTGTGTAGTATCTATTTTTTATACTTGCCCATCTTTCTTCAACTGGCTATGTATAATAAATGTTTGTTACCCAATTCTCATAATTCCAGTCTATATTTTCATTCTTAATTACTACTTAGTCTTCTCAAGAGTTACTTTTAAGATCTTCTCATCTTTTACTTTCTTCACTAATGTTGATCATGTCTTGTCACTATCAAGCAATTCAAGTAAGAAAACTAATGTTATAGAGATTATGTCACCCAACAAAATCAAGGTCTTCTTTTATTTTCTATTGGCACTACTGGGTTTTAAACTCAGGGTACTGTGCTTGGCAGGCAGGCCTTCAGCCCTTCTTGCTCTGGTTATTTTGGAGATACAGTCTTGTCTTTCGTCCAGGCTGACCTGGACCAAGATCCTCCTGTTTAAGCTTCCCACCATCACTGGGATGACAGGCATGTGCTACAGCGCAGCAACCAGTTGGTTGAGATGTGGTGTTCTTTCCTGCCCATCCCCCAAACCATCAATGGTTGGCCTTGAACTGTGACTTTCTCAAATAGCTGAGATTACAAGTGTGAGCCACTGACACATGGCTGGGTTTCCTAGTTAAAACAACAACAACAACAACAAAATATATATATATATATACTGTAGATGTTTGCAAAACAGTGTCAGAACTTTCCAAGTGCTAATAAAACTTCGGCTTTTAAGAACATTTCCAAGAGCTTTGCATTATACAATGGGTATATTGTGGGTTCCTTAAAAAACAAAACCACCTCAAACTTGAAACAACAAAAAATGGTTTGCTAAATTCTGAACATCTGACTTACAAGTCCTGACTCTAGGATAATTGTGAGCCAAAAGAAATCGCTCGACCCAGTTTTCCATATTCTGTAGGACCCAGCTGTGTGCCAGTTTATTTCGGGGTGTCTGTACTGCCAACCAATCCAGACACTGAGAAGGATTGTATTCAATCACCTACAAATAAAATGACAAGAACAGAATATAAAGTCAAATGAATGAGCAATTACTTTTTTTTTTTTTTTGGCATTTGCTATTAAACACTCAAAGCTAAAGTAGTCTTTAAAACACTAAAGTTTTAAAGAAGTTTTACCCAACCCTCTCTCCCCTCATCTTTAGAGCTACTTTTATTAACACGAACTACTCAGGAAAATTTGTCATTAGTTCACAAAA